GAAATTCGAATTAATACTAGGAAGATTCTAGACCCTACGGAATTCCAAATTGTACAGTGGCAGCTATATATTGGCATCCTTTTTTTATTGGCGGAGGAAGCCGGATTACCTGGAGAAAACCATCGACATTCAGCAGAAAACTGACAGTCATTGTTAATAAAGATCGAATACATATCGCCACGAGAGTATTTCGAACTCACAACCTAAGAGTGGACATTTACTTAGCTAATAAGAACATAAGATTTTTTATACTTTTATTGTATGAATAACTATATAATGCTATTTAATGATTTTTCTTTCAAATATTCAATAATATTTACAAGCTGCTAATCATATACTATAACTTCAGATATTGTTTTAACACTGAATTTGTTTGAATGTCTTGTTTTATCTATCAAGAGTTAGGGATAGATTCCTAGAGTAACCAGCATCGATTGGATGTTATTGTAGATGACCTTATAATCACCCCTGTCATTCAGATAATTGAACGGGAATTCTTTGATCTCATTGAATACATCGCCACAAAAGTGTTTCGAACTCACAAGAGTTGACATTTAGATAGCTAATAAGAACATAAAGAGTTTTTATACCAGTCTCAGATCATTTTTTGTTCACAGACCTTTCACGTGATGAACTAGTTGGTCACATTCCAGTCTTTGAAAACAATAGATATGCTTAGCCAAGTTAGAATGGTACATTTTCAAGTTATGTATACGTATACTGAGGGGGTTGAACACTAAGGCACAATATTTTTCACATTTTTGATGAGAAATGTCTTAAGGGAAAACACAAAAAGAGACAAATCTTCTGAGAAAATGTCTTCTGGTCATATTTCTTATAAATATGACTCAAGCATAAGGTACGTAAGATAGTCAATGAGACAACTATTCACCAGTGACTAAAGATGGCGGATGTAAACAATTACAGTTCACTGTACGGCATTCAACAACAAGCAAAATCCATACGGTACAGTATAAAAGTCCCTGGCAAAATTTTGAAACAATTCAAAAGAGAAAAACAAACGACCTCATTTATGCTAAAAAGAATGTTATATTAATACATCTCATTTAATTTGATTTACAACACCATCATCATTCTTTGGAGGTCTGACTACAATAAATAAATTGCTGAGAATAAGCACAAGAAGTATTTAGATATAAAAAGATAGAACAATTCACCAAAAGGCTAATATTCATTAAATGAACAAAAAAATATTGAAAAGTACAATAGACCAGACCAGCCAGAAACACCTAACCCGAATAATTCAGTTTGCTATATGTCTCTGCTCTGCAATTGCAACATTACCTCGCAAGTAGAAGAGATCGGTTACGGGGAGGGACAGAATTATTCGGGTTAACCAACACAGACACCTTCGCAAAAACACAGACGTACAAACAAAGACAATCAACAGCGAACAACAAAGTGTCCAGATAGCCTGGTTTTTGAATAAACCAGTTTTATATGCCATTTTTAGACAACATTTCATATACACAACAGAAAACCTTCACAGCCCAGGTATGACCAGTAACTTGAACAAGGAAATATTATTTTGATAGCAGATTCAAATATCTATAATGGTGATTAAAAAGATGAGATTATATCACATTTGCCATCTTTAACATTTGAATATGTTGCTTATGAGTTTTTTAATACACTCAAATAGACACTTTTGAAATAAACATCAGTAAATGACAGTACATATGTGCAGTCTGTACTATCTGTACTTTAAATAAAAAATAAATAAATAACAAAACAAATTAATTCAATTCTAAAATCTATTTCCCGCAAACAACAAAATTACGGAATTTGTTAAATATCAGAGAAAAGTAGGTTCTTTCATTACCACGCCTCTATTTGGTAACACTGATGCTATTATGAAAATAACAATATATGCTCACTGTGGCAGCTTGTTTCTGAACAATACTTATTTGTATTTAACCATTACGCTGTTTGAAGAGATGTTAATCTTAATTTGCAATATGGTTCTGTTTATCCAAAGTATTGTTCAATAAAAGGGTTTGACCCAAAATTGATCCACCCGGCATTTAAAAAAATACCTTTTTCATGGTAATAGTACATGGATGAACATAACCAATTTTCCTTCAATTTACCTTTAAGATGCATTTTAGAATTGAAAAAAAAAATGTTTTTCATTTAAGGAATTAAAGTCTGCTTTTTGTTTTAATTTTTAAGTTGTTACAGCTAAATATGTCAGTTAATCTTTTTAATTTTTAAGTTGATAGAGCAAAAGATGACAGTTCATATTTGCCGATTAACACCCATTCATCCATCTTTTAGAGCGGATACACATTTTGAGATATTATGATACCGCCGTGAATAAAACTATACATGGAAATTTAAATGATGGTGGCTATTTCTTCATATGGGAAAAGCTCAACTATTTTAGATGCAAAGATTTTTTTCTTTTAAATCAAGCGTCCAATCTATTTCAAAATTTAAATATAGTTCGATAATGAATGAATACATATGACAATTTTTTTCTTCAAAACAAAATCAATTTCTATGCTGCTAATTAAATGCTATATCTGCAGCTGTTGCATGGTTTAATAACTAATTTATATTTGAATGTCTTGTATTGTCCGTAACAAGCTAGGTAGATTCCAAGAGTAACCAGCATCGATTGATTGTACAGTTTATTGTAAAGTTATTTTGTAATCACGAAACTTCTGACGTCACCTATTGTTATTTATACATATTGTTAATATTGTTTGTAATATGCCATATGTATACACTGTATTTGAATACACTGATTAGCATTAAGTCTCAAAGTTAATAAAATAAAGAATTTGAATTTGAATGAATTTGAATATGACACTATAATCACCCCTTCTTTCGGTTATCTGAACAGGAATTCGCTGATCTCATTGCAATAAGGAAGCAACGTATATTAGTCCGATGAGAGTTCTTTTGTTAAGAAAATTTTAAATTGAAGATATACTATCAACATGTGTCACCTATTGATAAAGATTGTGGAGGATACTTCAAACTGAATATTGAGTAAAACCATTTGGCAATTGGTACTGTGAAAGGACAAAGTCTATGAATATGCACAGTAGTATATTATAAATCAAGTGCAGTGTAATAAAAATTATAATGGTGTCGTGAAATTTGAAGAATTTGAACATAAACTTTAATATAAAGAACACTAATGAAAAATTGTGACTTGGATATGAAAATTTCAGTCATTATGAAATCTATAAGTAATAACTTATAAACATTGTTTTTTTTTTTGTTTTTTTTTTTTACCAATAAAGTATTGCTTTGTTTTCTAACAGGAAGATACTGTGTACTTCAATCAGGATATGCTTTTCTGTAGTAATTATGGGTTAATTTAGTAAAATATCTCTCGGCACTTTTTGGGTCAAGTGAAGGCCTATTTAACAAACACTGTAGATTCGTATTTAATTCCTATACTGACTTCCATTTCTTTTCAAACCTGTAGTAATTAACATAACTGCATTCAGTATTCAGGATTCTTTTTTTATGCCCCACCTACGATAGTAGAGGGGCATTATTTTTTCGGTCTGTGCGTCCGTTCGTCCGTTCGTTCGTCCTTCCGTTCGTCCAATCCGTCTGTCCTGCTCCAGGTTAAAGTTTTTGGTCAAGTTAGTTTTTGATGAAGTTGAAGTCCAATCAACTTGAAACTTAGTACACATGTTCCCTATGATATGATCTTTCTAATTGTTATGCCAAATTAGAGTTTTGATCCCAATTTCACTGTCCACTGAATATAGAAAATGAAAGTGCGAGTGGGGCATCCGTGTATTATGGACACATTCTTGTTCTTCATTTTTTAACCGTAGCTTGGAAATTTTTTCGTAACAAACATCATCCACCAATCAGTCGAGCACAGGTCTTCAGTGTTATCCAGAAAGCTCTCCCCAAAAAGGGAATTCACCATGGCATATATCTATTAACTGAGTTTACCCCATTACTGATCTGTTAATATTAAAGGGAACTAATTTACACTGTATATAATTAACAGCAGAATCTTTATGATATATAAAACTTTGATTATGTTTTGTCTATGTCCGTTTGATATAATGTGTTCAACCTTTTTTCCAAACATTTCACTCATCTAGCAAATAAGTTTTAATACACATTTTAAAGAAGATGTGCTAGTATTGTCAATGAAACAGCTTTCCACCAGTGACCAAATGACGGAGAAGTAAACAACTATTAATCACCATATAACCTTCATCAATGAGCAAAACGATGACCGAACAACAAGCCATAAAAAGCCCCGACATGACAAAATAAGTTAAGCAATTTAAATGAGAAAACCAACGTCCTGAACACACGATAATAGTTTGTTAACCATGAAAATAACAATTAGATGTTTACTGACAAAATATTATTATGATGGAAGCTTTTTTCATCACACATGTCGATCACAGGATTAGGGTGGTAAAATTTATTTTCTTCACTGCACTTGCTTGATACTTATAACTTTTCACTGAAACAATGAGCTAAACTCCCTCACTTGTTGATCAGTTTGTAGAAGTGAATTCAAACTGTAAATTTGGTTAAGCATTTAAACAATGAATTAGTATTTTGATAGGACTGAACCTTTCCAATAAGCACAGTAAAACATAGACTTTCATCAAATCTGAATTCAATGTGGGTTCGTGTTGCTCAGTTTTCTATGTTTTGTGTAAGGGAGCTACCATTTGATTTTTATAGGGGGGAGCTAGGATAAAAAATTTTGTCCTGCATTTTTTTTTAGTTGTAATCTCTGTCATGCCTTTTTATTTTTCACTCTATTCGGTCCTGCCTTTTTTTATTAGTTTATCCTGACTTTTTTAACTAAATTGTCATCCTGCCTTTTTTTTGGCAAAGTATCTCATCCTGCCTTTTTTTACTCATAACTTCTGTCCTGCCTATTTTTTTCACATTTATTTTCGACTTCTGATTTTGAACATCCCTTTGGTATCCTTCGCCCCTCTTTTTTAAATAGAAAATATAAAAGAGCAAAACACTGACAATATAGTTTCTTTTATTTTGCTATGAGATAGCCAGAAAATGAGCTATATAAGTCACTGTTGCTGTGAACAGTATAACTGCCATGGGACTTAACTGCAACTTGGTCTCCTTTCTTCAGATTTAATATAATATTGGTTGTTCCTGTGTCATGTGTAGAACCTAGCAGCCATGTACTGTGTTGTTTGATATTATTGTGAGAAAGATAGACAACCAGCCTTTTTCCATCACGAGACATGACTGTATAAGAAAACTGGTAAACTCCAGCAACAGGTGCAGTGAAAGTACCAGTGGTTGGATTGTAGCCATTTCGTATATTGGTGACAATTTTGTCAAACTTGATAGCATCATTGGCTCCAAGGACTTGAATTTTTGTCAGTATTGATGTAAAGGCTGGGATGTTTGTGCTTCTCAGACACTGACAGATATTATCTAAAATGACAATAAGAATAAAAGAAATCAACAGTCACCAATGGCAAAATTATCAACATTAATTAAATTGTTAACCTTTTTAATAAGAATATTTTTTTTGTCAATTTAGACTTTCCATTTCTATGTGTCAACTATTTATTGCTAGTAAAAAAAATAATATTAGCGACAAAATATAGAGAATGAAGAGGGATAATATGGTGGAAGAATGTAAAATCAAAAGTGCTATGAATTGATTAATGAGATTTATTGTATGCATTCAACAAAATGAGGAAGCTTCATAAATCACGTAGTATTTTAAGGATGTTCGCGGCTCTGTTTCAAATTAACAAGCTTATAAAGGACTGTGATAAATTGAAAGTATATGAATAACAGGTCCATGTACTTGTTTTTGAGATATTTGCCTTTGAAAATTTTGTGGGAAGTGATTCTCTCTAGATTTTGCATTCATTTAACATTAACACATTTTTCTCTAAAAAAAAAAGAACAAATAACGAGGATTTTATGAGATTTTTTGAAATGTCTTATTAAATTAAATGTAATAAAAATATGAAAAAAGTAGGAGTTAGCGGACATAACGGAACTACAGGGATAAAATCAGAGGATTCCGAATATCTGTCAAAAAGTCACAAACAAGATCAGCGAACATCTTTAACAGTTTACATGATTGTTTGTGTCATTGGGTTGCTATTTCATTGACATATGATGTATGCATTCATTTATCAATAAATATGATTTAAAGGTTCAATTCCAAAGACAATTATTAACGGTTTGTTTTGAGTGTTATTTTTTATTAATTTGTGTTAACTGGTTAAGTAAAAAAGAAATCATATACTAGTATTTAGAATCATTATATATATACACTGTCTTGACATATAACATTTATTCGCACACGGCATTGAACCAGGTAGAATGTGAGATTGTGCCAAGCTTTTCTGTCCTGTTGCAAGCTGAGTACAAAACAAAAATGATGTTTGGAGACAATGCTTGGTTGTTCTCTTTATAATTCCACTGTGAAAACTGTTACAAATGAAATATTTTAGGTAAAAATTAGCAATTATGAACATGAAGTAGATGACGTTAAAATTCCGTCAACCTTCATACTTTCACTACTATCATTAATAGAACTGTACGGAAAAATTAGTTTCAACTTCACACACAAGGCTTTATACGGTTAGTGAATATATAAAGCCAAAGTTTATGCATTTTGACTGCGCAAATAGCACACTTGTAGTAAAAAATAAACTATGACCTTTTTCAACTTTTTTATAGTTTGTTCTTATGTTGTACTGTTACACCACTGTCTCATGTTAGCGGGAGGTTTGAGCGCTCACAAACATGTTTAACCCCGTCACATTCTTTTTTTGTGCCTGTTCCAAGTCCGGAGCCTGTAGTTCAGTGGTTGTCGTTGGTTCATGTCTGTCATATTTGTTTTTCGTAAATTGTTTTGGTATAAATTAGGCCGTAAGTTTTCTCAATTAAATTGTTTCATATTGTTAATTTCGGGGCCTTTTATAGCCGACCATACGGTATGGGTTTTTCTCATTGTCGAAGGCCGTACGGTTGCCTATGATTGCTTACATTCATTCATTTGAACTTTGATGGATAGTTGTCTCATTGGTAATCATACCACATCTCCTTATTTTTATATGAAAACTTTTTAAGTATGAAACTTGCCTGGTTCTTTATGCTTCATTGTCATTTCAAGGAGATCACCAAGAAGAGAACACTCTGAAAAAGCAATATGTCGTAAACCTTATATATACTAGCATATTTACTGAAGTTTGCTAAATGCATTTTCTTGTCTCGGATATTTTCCAAAGTATGATTTTACTGTAACAGAATAAGAATGCCTTTATTTTTTAATGAAACGAAATTAGAATTTGAAGCAAACGCATTTATCTAGACAAACGACGCTGTTGGTTAATACCCTCGTGAGAACGCAGGAAACATACAGTAAAATAATATAGTTGAGTGGATTATAAACATTGGTGTCAGACAGGGATATACTTCTTATCTTCTAATCTATGTCTTTACGACAGTGTAGTCTCTACTGTGCTTTTTTGTTGTATCAAATGTGTTGTTATATTCCTTGTATTTACTCTCTTGTTTATTCAAGACACACTGTAAACTTTTTTTCTCATACAGATGAGAATATTTTTCTTTCTAGATCTGGAGATCTATACAAGTGAATAATAACAATAAAATTCTAAATTTTTCGGATTCTGCTTAAAGTTTTGCTTTTATTTTGACTTATCATAAATTATTTATAGCTAAACTTGTCTATCATTGTAGGAAAATAAAAAGTAGGGTATTAAGGTGATGATCAAATTCTGGCTGAATATTTAAAATAAAAATATTTGGCATCAATTGGATGCGCACGAAAATAAAGACACATAATACAAAAATACAAAAAAATGTTAATTTCAGGGCAGGGTGTAAGATCAACAATACAAAGGATACTATACAGAAAGGCAATTTCAATTAGCACCCAAAAAAACCAGGAATGTGGTTAGTTGTTGCTTTAAATTAAGCGTTTGACATCCTGTTTCTCATGTAGCACTCTTCATTCGATGATTCGTACGATTTATACATTGGACCTAGGCGGTACCAAGGCGGTACCAACGTATAATTGTACTACATTGGACCAACATTGATCCATCAAAGGCTGTGTTATTCCAACAATGGGCCAACGTTTGACCTATGTGTTGCATACAACCATACAACGTTGGGTCAACGTTGAGCCATTATGTTGTGCAAATATTGGCCCACTACGCCCTTATACATTACCTAGGCCAGCGTTTAAGAACAATTGGGTTCTCAAGTTGTTTTAGTAGTTTCTTATGAAAATTCTATATTTTTGTTATCTTTAAGATAAAAGTAATATAATTTTATTTACCTAATTTTGTGTCACATGATCCGATGACCATTTCTGCAAATAACAATAAGGTTAGAACGGAGGTGCAGCGTGTAAGCTTCATCTCGGTATTGACTTAGAACAGCCTAGATTAAAAGTGTATGTGCTATAACATTTTGATACAGTGGTAGTAATTATGGAATTGCCTGTCTTGATTAAAACATTCCATCAAATGAAATGGATATGGATAATGAGTTTTGATCATGCACTATAAAATGACAGCAATATCTAAACTTTAGATACTCTCTGCTGAAAAGTTTTTGACTTACTTTGAATTTTTTTTTATAGTTTTGTCCTGAAATTGAAGTTTTCATATGAATAAAATAGATGGGGATATATGTTAATGTGACTAAAAATACCCAGATGAATCACGTGATAAATTTGAGACTTGAACATCTTATGACAGTGCTATTAACTTTAGTTTCAGCAAATCATTAGAATAGATATAAATAAGAAGATGTGGTATGAGTGCCAATGAGACAACTATCTATCCAAGTCACAATGTGTAAAAGTAAACAATTAAAGGTCAAAGTACGGCCTTCAATGAATGGAAACAAGGAATATGTCAAAGAGACAACAACCCAACCAAAGAGCAGAAAACAGCTCAAGGCCATCAACGGATCTTCAACGCAGCAAGAAAACCACGCACCAGGAGGCGGGCTTCAGCTGACCACTTAGCATGCTAGTTCAGCGAAATGGACACCACACTAAACTCCGAAACATACAAATGAACCGAAATAAAAAAAAACACACAAGAATAACAAAAGCTAGAGGTTCATTACTTGGGACAGGCGTAAAAATGGGGCGGGGTTAAACATGTTGTGTGAGATCTCAACCATCCGCCTAATGTGGAATAAACAAACACACAGCAAAACGCAAAGTAAAACTCAGTTCAAAAGAAGTCCGAGTCCGATGTTAGAATAGGTAAAAGACGAGTCCGATGTTAGAATAGGTAAAAGATGAAACTAGATATATGAAACAAAATGACTTTTTTAACTTATGTTCCATGGCCCATTTAGTTTGTTAACATCATTTGTGGATTTGATCCATCAACAAACATTGCAACTCTTAATAAATATATCATTTCGTATGCTTTGTATTTATTTCCGTTTTCTAATATCTGACCACCTCAATGATGTTGCGAAATGAGTTCAAGAGGGCATATGTTTAATCCTCGGCTGGCTTAATCGATATACTTTGAAAATTTTAACCTTCTTTCTCTTCTAAGCACACAGCATTTGGAACCAATACGGGGGGCAGCACGTGGAGCAGGATCTGTTTACCCTTCCGAAGCACCTGAGATCACCCCTGTTTTTTTTGTGTGAGATACGTGTTGCTCAGTCTTTAGTTTTCTATGTTGTGGTTTGTGCACTGTTGTTTGTCTTTTGGTCTTTTCATTTTTTTCATGGCGTTGTCAGTTTATTTTCGACTTATGAGTTTGAATGTTCCTGTGGTATCTTTCGCCTTTCTTTCGTGTACAAAATGACATTGTGGTATTGGTTTTATCTATTGTTGGTCGTACGATAACTATAGGGTCTTCCGTCAACGTCATTTGGACTCGAGTGGATAGTTATCTCATTTGCAATCAAACCATATCTCTCATCATTATATTTAAATTCATTTTATATTACACCGTCATATAATCTCGTCCTGAATATGTTTGTAATATTTGCCAATGGACGTTTAACATATATCCCATCATTTACTATCTTAACTTTACACCTTTGCTTCAAAACAGATAAACATGATTTTTTAAAAAGATTTTCCGTAACTAGTATAAAAATCAATTAGGATCATTACGGAAAATTTAGCAACCTATCTTTCATATTACCAAGAAACTCATACTGTCACCATTTTTCAAGGAAATGACAACAATGTAAAAATGAAAAAAAATAATTACAATGTACCTTAAGAAGTACGCAAAATGGACGTATTAACTACAATATTTATGGTAACAAGTAAGTAAAAGTGGGGAACAGTTGCTACATTTTCCTGTTTGTTTTTATAAATCAATTAAATTTCATTATTGTCCATGTCATTTATCCCCAATATTCTTTATTCCATTGTTTGCATAAGGACAAATGTTACATATCCAATATTTACTTTCACTAGATAAGAGAAACATTCTTTTCTGTTATTTTATATTATAATTAAACATCTATTAATATTCTGAACAGCAGCTTCATATATAAAACTACTAATTATCAAATACTCCACAGTCTATTCAAGTCACACGATGAGACTCACTGTCATTTTTCTGATAATTTTTTGTCTTGTTTTGCTGCACGCAGAAGGTAGGTATATGGTTCTTATGTTTTGGCTTGTTTTGCTGTACACAGAAGGTAGGTATATGGTGCTAATGTTTTGTCTTGTTTTGCTGCAAGCAGAAAGTAGGTGTATGGTGCAAATGTTTTGTCTTGTTTTATTGCACGCAGATGGTAAGTATATGGTGCTAATGTTTTGTCTTGTTTTGCTGCACGCAGAAAGTAGGTGTATGGTGCAAATGTTTTGTTTTGTTTTGTTGCACGCAGATGGTTAGTATATGGTGCTAATGTTTTGTTTTGTTTTGCTGCACGCAGAAAGTTGATGTATGGTGCAAATGTTTTGTCTTGTTTTGTTGCACGCAGATGGTAAGTATATGGTGCTAATGTTTTGCCTTGTTTTGCTGCAAGCAGAAAGTAGGTGTATGGTGCAAATGTTTTGTCTTGTTTTGTTGCACGCAGATGGTAAGTATATGGTGCTAATGTTTTGTCTTGTTTTGCTGCACGCAGAAGATAGGTATATGGGGCTAATGTTTTGTCTTGTTTCTGCTGCATGCAGAAGATAGGTATATGGTGCTAATTTTTTGTCTTGTTTTGCTGCACGCAGAAGGTAAGTATATGGTGCTAATGTTTTATGAAATTTTTAAGATTGTAAGTGACTGTACGTTTTTAATGTTCTGCATGATCTAAGTAATGTGAAGAAGGTAAGTGTATGGTACTGATTTTCTTTGTGGATTTAATCAATTTTTACAAGGTCAGAGTCTAAATGATTTAAATCAGTTTGCTGATGGTAAATGTACTGATACTAATACTGATGTTCTTAGTGCTTAGAATTCTAGAAGTTTAGTTAACGGAACTAATGGAATGTGTGGTTTAATTTACTGTGATTTGACTGTAAGTGTTGATCTCCGAATATTGCAGTTTATTCAAAGAATCTTCAAAATACTGACCAAATTGCAATTTGTTTAACCAAACCAAACTGTTCAAATGGTCAAAAATTTTAACCAACTGCCTGATTCTGATGAATATAGAAGACTTTTTTTTAAAGAAAAATTGTATGAAAACTTAGTTTGGACATTTTTATAGCAATTCAGAAGTTACTACCTATCACCTTTCGCATGACAATTACAATTAAAATATGTATAGAAATTCTCAATGAAGGGAAATTACAGTCTGTTAGGAGATATTTTTATCACCTTGCACTTTCATGACTTGAATGAGCAATTCGTTAAAATTTCTGACCAGTTGAACAGTTTAGTTTAAAAAAACAAATTGCAATTTGGTCAGAACTTTGAATAAACTGCAATAAGTGAAGAACAACACTTACAGTCAAATCACAGTAACTTAAAAAGGCAAGTTTATAGAACTAATGGTACATGTGGTTTATTTTAACTTGTCATATCTTGATAGTTTTTGTTATAAAAAGGATTGGAGTGTTTATGGCAGAAATTTGATTGTTTATGTATAATTTATTCACAATTTTTAGAGAATCGGTATGATTTAGAGCTTGGCACATTGTACAGTACATCTGTCTAGAATTCAAGATTGTATGTTGCTCTCTTGACAATAATTGTTTTAATCATTTCTGAGGTAAGTTTATGGTGCTAATGTTTTGTCTTGTTTTGCTGCACGCAGAAGATAGGTATATGGGACTAATGTTTTGTCTTGTTTCTGCTGCACGCAGAAGATAGGAATATGGTGCTAATTTTTTGTCTTGTTTTGCTGCACGCAGAAGGTAAGTATATGGTGCTAATGTTTTGAATTGTTTTATGAAATTTTTAAGATTGTAAGTGTACGTTTTTAATGTTCTGCATGATCTAAGTAATGTGAAGAAGGTAAGTGATTGGTACTGATTTTCTTTGTGGATTTAATCAATTTTTAGAAGGTAAGGGTCTAAATGATTTAAATCAGTTTGCTGATGGTAAATGTACTGATACTAATACTGATGTTCTTAGTGCTTAGAATTGTAGAAGTTTAGTTAACGGAACTAATGAAATGTGTGGTTTAATTTACGGTTGTTTGACTGTAAGTGTTGCTCTCCGAATATTGCAGTTTATTCAAAGAATCTTCAAAATACTGACCAAATTGCAATATGTTTAATCAAACCAAACTGTTCAAATGGTCAAAAATTTTAACCAACTGCCTGATTCTGATGAATATAGAAGACTTTTTTTTAAAGACAATTGTATGAAAGCTTAGTTTGGACATTTTTATAGCAATTCAAAAGTTACTTCCTATCACCTTTCGTATGACAATTACAATAAAAATATATGTAGAAATTCTCAGAATGATTGTGGTTATATCAATGAAGGGAAAATAAAGTCATTTAGGAGTTATTTTATCACCTTGCACTTTCATGACTTGACTGAGCAATTCGTTAAAATTTCTGACCAGTTTAACAGTTTTGTTTAAAAAAAAAATTGCAATTTGGTCAGAATTTTTAAGAAACTGCAATAAGTGAAGAACAACACTTACAGTCACGTCACAGTAACTTAAAAAGGCAAGTTTATAGAACTAATGGTACATGTGGTTTATTTTAACTTGTCATATCTTGATAGTTTTTGTTATAAATAGGATTGGAGTGTTTATGGCAGAAATTTGATTGCTTATGTATAATTTATTTACAATTTTTATAGAATCGGTATGATTTAGAGCTTGACACATTATACAGGACATCTGTCTAGAATTAAAGATTGTATGTTGCCCTCTTGACAATAATTGTTTTAATCATTTCTAGGAAAACTTTTTAATTTAGAATTCTAGGAGCTTTACATGAATTTTACAAGTGCAACTTTGAAATTATTTTTTTCTATATATGATATTTTAATTCGCCCTTGATAGCTGAAATTGCA